CCCTTCACACTTACCCCAAACATGAATGACCCCTAAGAGGCCCTAGTAACAGAAAGCTCTTCAGTCCCTTGCTATATTTATTATTTTAATTTTCTCCCACCTCCAAGAAAGTAGCCTTTTATACCTGTTGAGATTTCATCCTGACTTCTTCAGTTATTTCTGACCCCAGCCAGAGTCTGGCATACCTTTTTACTAGATCATATCTCCATCAAGACTCTGCTGGGGCTAGGTAGTATCACAACACCAGAGAAGGAAATCAGATCACACTACATACCTTCATAATAATAACAACAAAACAGGACTAGCACCAAAAAAAAATCAAGATATGTAGACTACAAGAATTAAGGGTGCAGAAATAAATGCACTCAGCTATGGCCACCCATTTTTCAAGAACACTGTCAAAGCACACATTGGGGAAAATACCACCTCTTTTAATACACAGTGCTGGAGGGGATATCCACATGGCAGAGAATGAAACTAGAACCATCCTTTTTGTTCAATACAAAAAAAAATTCAAAATCAAAGATCTTAATCTAAGACTTGCAGCTCTGAAGCTGTCCAGGAAATTCCTTCATGATATAAGCCCAGGTGAGGACTTTCTGAACAGCACTGATACCTTGGGAAACAATTACAAGGAAATTATGGGATTCTACAAAATCAAAAACCTTCTATACACCAAAGTGAAAAGAGAACCGACATGATAAGAGAAAATCTTTACCAACGATATATATAACAGAGCATTAATATCTGGAGTAGATGAAGAGATAAAAATTAAATATAAGCAAAAGAAACATTTCATTGGGGGGAATAAGTTGACTAGGCAGTTCTCAAGAGAACACAAATGACCAGTAAACATATGGAAAAACATTCAACACCCTTAGGCAGCAGGGAATGCAAATGAACACTACATTGAGATTCATCTCACTCCAGTCATAAAGACTCCAATCAAGAAAACAAATGATACAGGATGGAGAGTTGGCTTGGCAGTTAGCAGAGTCTGCTTGCTCTTGCAGGGGACCCAAGTTTGGCTAACAACACCCATATGAGGCCTCTCACAAATATCTTTAATTCCAGCTCTCTGTCTTCTGGCCTCTTCTAGACCTTTGCATACATACACACGCATACATGCACATGTGCACTTGCCGACAAGGATGTGGAGAGAAACTTTCACACACTACCAGCCATAATGTAAACCAGGGCAGCCGCTATGGAAATCAGAGTGGCGGTTTCTCACAAATCTAAAAATAAAACAAACACCTATACCACTCCCGAAAATACACCCAAAGGACTAGATAAAGTCAGCACACCACAGAGATACTTGCATATCCATGATTATTGCTGCACTATTTTCAATAGCTTAGGAAGAGAAGCAGTCTGGATGCTATCAGTTGACGAATGACCAAGAAAAATACAGAACATATTCAATTTTATCCAGACATAAAGAAAAGGAAAACAAATGAAATTGAGGATCATGTCAAGCAAAATAAGCCAGACTCAGACAAAATCATGTTTTCTTTCATACAGAGTCTAGATTCAAATACATATATACACATATGGCATATATATGTACACACATACATACATATGGCAGAGCAGAGGGAACTATTAGTAAAAAGAAGGGATTTAAAGGGAGAACAAGAGAGGATATTAGATGCCTTATTGCTTTTTGGTACAGTGTTAAACACCATGACCCAAAGTAACACAAGAAGAAAGGGCTCAGTTGGCTTATACATTTCTATCAAGAGAAGTCAAGGCAGGTACTCAAAGCAGAATCCTGGAGGCAGGAACTAAATTATCTTTCTTAAATAGCCTAGGTCCCCCTGCCTAAGGAAGCTACAGCCCATTGTGCTAACTGATGTGGGAGGGCCTAGGCCAATCAAGAGAATGTCCCCACAGACATGCCCCTAGACAATTCCAGTGGAAGCCATTTCTCAGTTGAGGTTCCCTTTCCCCAAGTGCTAACTATGACATGGTAGGAAGAAAGACAAACTATCCCATCATCTTACCATGTGGAATCAAGACTTAAACACATGTACAACATAAAACCAGAAGGGACCAGAAGGAAGGCACAATGGGAGCTGGCAGAAGTGGTACTGTAGAGAAGAAAATATGACCAAATTATTACGATGATACACAGGAATAATAATGCCATAATGAAACCCATTTAGTCACTTTGTATACTAACTAAAAGAAATGGTCATCTTTTAAAAAGAAAAAAATCACATTTTAAGTGAGAAGGGGGAGAAGGAGGAGGAGGAGAAGAAGGAGGAGGAGAAGGAGGAGGAGGAGAAGGAGGAGGAGGAGAAGGAGGAGGAGGAGGAGAAGGAGGAGGGGGAGGAGGAGGAGGAGGAAAAGATGCTCAGGATAGTGATGACTACAACTCCATTAACATATGTCTGAGTCTAGCCATGTGCTGGGATTAACACAGACAGGAACTGTTATGAGAAAATACGGGTTGCCTGACTCAAAGATATGTTTAGCCACAGATCTCATTTCACCCGCTCATCACATTTCATGATCCCTGCAATATTCTGAGGTTTTGAGAAGTTCCACTAGAATGTCCCTGGGTGACACCACCAGGGTTGTGATAAATAACTCCATAGTTGAAGGTTACCAGCCTCATCTATCTAAGAAACCCAACCGGACTCATCCTAACTGGCCTAACATCGCTCCTGAGTTGTGACTTACACAACATCCAGTGATTGCTGACAGCATAGAACACTCTGGAATGCCACCAGCTCAGAAAGCAAGATCCTGTGCAAAGGTGGAAGTGGAAGAATGCATGGCAAGGTGTTTGGGGTGGATGGAGAGTTGCTAAGTGGAAAGAACACAGAGTCTCCCTTAATAAGAAAAGCTTATTGGGAACTTGATACCTTTTTTTTTTCTTGGAATCAAGAAACAGTCTGGGAACATGCCAACATCTTACACATATGTACATAAGTGTCTCTCATTCTTTTTTTTTTTTTTTTTTTTTTTTTTTGGTTTTTCGAGACAGGGTTTCTCTGTGGCTTTGGAGCCTGTCCTGGAACTAGCTCTGTAGACCAGGCTGGTCTCGAACTCACAGAGATCCTCCTGCCGCACGCCTTTAATCTCTCATTCTTTTTAACCATAATCTCTGAGAGTACTAGTAAAGCATAGCTCGGCACCCCCCAACCATTTAATAACCACCGCTCTACATGGCTCCTCGTGGAACCATCCAGATCTCTACTTTCGGTTCTTAGCTAGTCATGTGTAAAAGATCACCACAGAATCTCATTCATCTTCAGCCACAGTAAAAATATACCCACCATTCGTATCCCAGCCACACACAGGACATAAAACAGTTTTGAGTTTATTGAACTGGAGAAGCTTAGCTGCTAATACCCTTTCCCTGTCGGTCTCTGCTAAATGTCTGCACCCAAAGGGCCACACATGTTCCATATGCAAGCACGAATGATTTAGCTTTGGGAATGGTTCATTTTGTTTGTTTGACTCTATTTTGAAATATGCATGGGAACGGGTTGACCTCTTTCTGGCCGAGAACAGCCTTTGCCGGGCCGTTGGGGTGGGAGGATGGGGGAGCTGGTCACCCGACAGTAGAGTTAAGCCAGATGAAATGAGGTCTGTGGCAATGAAGCCTCCAACAGGAGAGAGAGAGACCTTGTCAGTGAGGAACTAACACTGAGTCCAAACGTGATCCCCTAAGTTGGCAATGGCTGAAGAAGAATACATCCCTACTAGGGGCAATGTGGAGCAGGAAGACTCGCTTTGGGTCACTGTTTAAGGGGGTAAAGGTCATCGTGGTGGGCAAAACACGGTGACAGGAACTTAACTGCATCTACATGCATGCTGCATCCACAGTTGGAAGTCACATAGAAGACAGATAGGGTACAGGCTCTAAGACCTGCCCTTAGTGTACAGACACACTTTCTTCAGCAAGGTCTCACATGCTAAAGCTACCAAGTGTTCAAACATATAAACCCATGGGGGGCTTCCCACATTCCAACCACAACAGAGTTGAACAGCTAGCTGCCTATGAGTCCCCTTGGAGAGTGGACCACCATCTTTGGAGCTCTCTCCCACCCTCTGGGTTCCATGCTCCTAAATTTAGTATGTTGGACAGTCTAAAGTAGTGTCACACGGGCCATATTTGCTGAGCTTGTTCCACTTAGACTGCACTGCCTTCAAAAACAAAATTCTAAAGGTCACTCTCGGAAGCCCAGCATCACACTGATCCTAGCACAGGGTCCTACAAGACAGCTGATACGAGAGAGCTGTTGGATTCTCTCTTCTGTTTATTTCTAGAAGAGACTTTCCATAGACAGCTGCCGGGCCAAGCTCCTGTCCGAGCATTGTGCCAACCTTCTGCAGGCGTTTTTTCCACCCAGATCCTGGCTCTGGATTCAGGGCTGTCTCCAGGAGGTCTAGTGGGGCCGAAGCCAGTCCTGGGTTGCTTCTGGACTGAGGTCACTCAGCGACACTCAGCTCAGCACGGAGAATGTACTTGTCCTGCCATGGTCACACGGGAGGCTCTTTGGATTTGTGCAGGATCAGGCAAATGACTTAAAGTCCCTCAGGCCTTGGGTCCTCCATGTGATGGATTTTATGAGTGAGTGGCAGCTTTCTGAGCTCATAAAGACCAAATGAGACCTCAGGTGAGAACAGCTGCCACGATGGGAATTCGAATACAACCATCACATGTCAGCAGCATCAGAGATCACAGATGAGCCGTAATTTCCTCTGCCATGAAACAGAGGGATGAGCAAATTCCTCTCCACATGCAGACCTGCCCTCCCTGAGTCTTAGGACTTAGGATCTTCAAACAGAAGAGGAGGAAGGCCCTGTGCATTTCTCTTTAATGCAATGGTTCTCCTTTAAAAACCCTTGTAAGTAGCTTCTCTCACTGTGAGGAATGGCAACCAAATCAGGAATCCTTGCCTCCCATGTGGGTGGCAAGCATACAGGTTAGCACATTGGGAAGCAAACCAGAAGTGCAGGGGAACTTCTAAACAAAGACTTACCTCGGTTGAAGTCGCACCGTATCCTGGCACCTGAAGATGCTGTTTTGTGGACTCTCGTGAGCAGGCGTTCCCGCTCTGCTCTGGCACTCGGACTGGCTGGGCACCACATGCTCGGTGTCCTACAAGACAAAAGGGCAAATGAGCTTCCTGCAGCAGCACTTCCCTAGGACCCCCTCCAGACTGAGCTCAGCTGGGGCAAGAGGCAACGACAGGCACCACACTCTCCTGACTTCCAGATGGGAAGGGAGACAACTCAATGGCCAAATTTAATAGATGTATTTCTCCCAGGCTGTTGCCTGTGCAAGATTATAAGAGAAGGGGGTGAGGAATATCAGTTATAAAAAAGCGAAGAAGAAGAAGAAGAAGAAGAAGAAGAAGAAGAAGAAGAAGAGGAGGAGGAGGAGGAGGAGGAGGAGGAGGAGGAGGAAAAAAATATGAAGAATTTTATCATATTGAAAATAACACTGTAGAGGGCTAGAGAGATGGCTCAACAGTTAAGAACATGTACTATTCTTGCAGAGGACCTGAGCTTGTTTTCAGCACCCACCCTGGCAGCTCAGAACCCTCTGTAATTCCAGGCCCTGAAGGAGTCAACACTTCTAGGTTCCATAGGTGACTGCACTCGTGTGTGCACATTGAAACAAAGGCATAGACTATTAAAAAGTTAATAAGATGTGCTTTTTAAGGATTCCTGTATTTTTATGTTGATGAGTGCCTTTGCCTACATACTTGTACGGCACCTCCTGCATGCTGGGTGCTCATAGAGAGACCAGAAGAGTTGCATGCCCCAGGACTGGAGTTACAGATGCTCGTAAGCCACCATGTGGGTGCTGGGAACCAAACCCAGGTCCTCTGAAAAAGCAACAAGTGCCCTTAACTGCTGAGCCACCTCTCTAAACTCAATCAAATAGTTTTAATTACATTATAGAATACATCATAAAGGTGGATATAAATTTAGTATAATGATACTTACAAAATAGTCATGTTTATCAAGAAAATGTATGAATGCTTACAGACATAAACAGATCGGGATGGGTTGAACTAAAAATCTTAATAGTAGTGATCTGTGAGATGTCATTTTGCTTTGAGATCCATATGGATTTTCCCATTTTTCTATAGCAGAAAGATGTTCTTTATGCATGAAGAGGTAACTTTAAGCTAGCTTGAACACAAAGGCGCACTCATTTTATAAACCCCAGTACCAAGTGTGCCCGATCTCTCTCCACTGACACCCATGTAACTATCACCATCGGCTTACCGGGCATTTGAACAGACCCAACTCTGAGTGCCCATAATGCCATCCATGATATAAAACCCTTCTGAGTGCTGGGCTGTGGCAGATAACAAGAATACACCCAGACTACAACACAGACATACATGGAAATGGAAGATCTATGACCCACAGCTGAATTCCTGTCATCTCTAAGCTGAAATGAGCCTATGACAAATCCCTGTCATAATAAAATAGTTCCTTTGCACCCAATGAACGAAATACAAGCATAAACAGCCAAATTATTTGGGATAAAAGATGAGGCTGCATTTGTCTCTGCAATATAACTCAATGGCAAGAGAGGTCCGGCCTCTTCAAGGGCAATGGGTTTAGAGCCATCTAGGTCAAGTGTCCTATAAGACATTTTTCCAAAATATGAGAGGGGCCACGCGGTCACCAGAAGCTTCTAACAGGAAAACTGTATGAATGTCGTCCTATAAAGGGATGGGACAGAGTGGGGAGGGCCAAGGGAAGGGGATGAATGAAGAGAATCAAGATACCTTCTTTACTCTTCCAAACCTCCAGAGGGGGGAAGCCCCTCCCAGGGAAAAGTTCCCTTTGTGTTCACTGACTCTCCAGATTGGGTAGCTGCTCACAAAAAGGCCTACGGCTACTCAAATATTGTTAAAGTTTCCCAAACAGGAAGGTTTTCAAGAAAGAGCACTGCTTGCTACTAGCTAAGCGACTGACTGTAGGCTGAGTTACATAACTGTCTAGGCTCTGCGTCTCTTGTCTGCAAAATGGGGATCACCTCTGCAACCTCACAGGGGCGTTGAAATGTGATTAGAATCTTCCCATGCCTTTCGAACAACTAGAGGCCAATAGCAGGAGGCAACACTCAGCCGAGAGACTCAGACAAAAGCAAATGTATTTTGTGCCGCACTTGTTTCAGATTCCTAGGCAAAAATTTCTATGCAAGTACCTGGATATCAAAGACACCTTAAATATCTTTTTGCTTTGCTGTTGTTGTTCTGAAACAGAATTACTGTGTAGACTCGGCTGGGCTCACACAACACCCCTGCATCTCCAAGAGCGGCAAGGACATACAACCATGATGGTTGGCTTAAACCACGTATTGTGAAGCGCTGATGCCTTGTAGGCCTTAAACATGTTCCATTCCAATCTCTACAAAAGGTCACCATTTCATTAAAACTTCACCTTTTAGAGAAAGAACAGTTTGCTTTTTTTTTTTTTTTTCATCAAAAACAGTATTTCATCTGCTTCCTTTAGCCTCCAGTGGCTGGGAAGGATCCCCTCGGGTCTGATCCACTGACTGTTTATCACAGAGGTGATAAAAAGGGATACTGGAGAAAGGGCTCCCTTTATCTCCTCAGATCAAAGACCTCAGAGTTCGAAAGAGCTCTTTTCTCTGGAAGGGGTATATAAGGAGTATTTGGAGGCTGATGACTAAATGGAGAAGAAGGTGACATCGCGCCATGCCATGTTGTTCTGCTGAGAATTCAATGCTGAGAATTCAAACCTCCAGATGTTAGGGAATTGGGGGGGGGGATGAAAATATGCTAGTACAAAGAATCTTGAGGATTGACAAGCACAGCAGACGCTGACGTAATAGCAACAGGTTGAACAGAAATGACAGGCAGCTCTTTCTCAGGCCCAAAAGTCAAAATATGCCCATAAACCCTGATTTCCAAAATTTTCTAATATCAGAAACTCAAATGTAACCTCTCTTAAAAAAGAAGACATATGCTGCCTTCTCCAAAGCATATGGCAAGCCTCAAACATCTTGTTCATTAATATATATGTATATTAATGATATATAACATATAATATATAATAAAAACATTAATTATATAATTTAGTCCCTCTTCCCCTTGATTACCTTTGCAAAGAATGACCTGCAATGGGCCAACAGCCCCAGCAGAGCTGATGTGGCAATCCATCGTAGAGCAAAGACAAGGGTCCCTACTGTGCTCGGGGTGCATTCTTGACCCATGGAAATCATGAGAGGTAATACTTGATTGATGTTCTTTTAACCCCAGGGCTTGTTACACAATATTAGAAGAGTACAACATCCCACCTTTCCTGTACCATAAAGTACAATCTTTACTTTTACTACCTCCTTTTTATTAGATAAAAAAGCTATTTGCTAAAACAGCAACTATCCGGGGGTGGGGGAGGGAAATGATGTGATATAAAATGTGCCCATAGATTTCCGGGTCCATTCGAGAAAGGGGTAGATCCCTGAGAGCTGTGTGAACGCTGGCACTGAGAACCGCGGAGTGTGCCCTAGAAAGAGTGACAGATGGACGACAGAAAGCAGAAGAAATTTTCTTGGTATGACATACCCAGTGAAAGCAACCCCACTCCCCAATTTCATCTGAAAGAATCAAAACCTTGCCATGACAGATGAACCTCAAACCTTCTAAGTGAGTCTATTGTGTGTGTGTGTGTATATATATATATATGTATGTGTAATATATATATATATATATATATATGTATGTGTAGAGATGAACCTCAAACCTTCTAAGTGAGTCTACTTTGTGCGTGCATGTGTGTGTGTGTGAGTGTGTATGCGTGAGAAGATGAACTTCAAACCTTCTAAGTGAGTCTACTCTGTGTGTGTGTATGTGTGCGCGTGTGGAGATGAACTTCAAACCCTCTAAGTGAGTCTACTGTGTGTATGTGTGTGTGTGCATGCGTGTGCACACAAACACCCATGCACACGCATGCACAGATGTAGGTATACTCAGCTGTGCATGCATGTGCAGTGGTCAGAGAGTGACACTGGGAGTTCCCCTCGGTTGCTCACTTTATTTTTGCCCTGAGATGTCACTGACCCCAGTGAAATCATTTCAGCCAGGAGGCTAGACAGAGAAAGCCCTCGGCCTCACCCTCTCAGCTCCACCCCTCAGCACCTAAGCCGCAGGCTCACACCCTCATGACTAGCTTTTATCTGGGTGCAAAGCTGCTTTGTGAACCTACTGACACCCACTGACTTCCTCAAGTAAGCAAGACTCTCTTTAGCACCTCCATTACCTCATTTAAAATCCGGCCATGGGTTCTAATCTCTTAGTTCTCTACTGTGAGAAAAATAAACAAATGAAAGATGACCTTTTATGCAAAAGGTGAATCCCAAAAGACTTTGAAAAATATGACTGATATTTATGTATTTTTAAGACTATTCCCATGACAGACAGCGGGCATTTCTGTTCACCCACTGAAGCGGAAATATTCCAATAACATAAACACAGTTTATAACTTAATGGGCCTCAAATCATTGAAAGTATATAGTTTCTTATTAAGTTTAGGAAAGCTGTATGATTTCAAGTAGTTCGCATTAAGAGAGAATAATGTCAATTCGATACTTGAGTCAAAATACAAGAGGACCATACAGTACCACTTGGCTGAGCTACAGAGCTTATACCCTAAGCCCACTCTCCTCAGTGCAAACCCAGGGTTCTTCCCACCATTCCTCAGTGATTTTCTTGCCACCGAACTGAGAGGCCGTCCCATGCCACCCGTGTGAGCATGGCTGCACTTAGGGACCCGGTGGTCATCAAGGATGAGATCATTGTAATGTACCTGCTTTCCATAGCTGTTTTCTGTCTCTGCAGCCTGTAAGGGAAGGACACAGGGACTTTGAAGGGGGGAAGGGGGTGTGTGTGAAAAAAAGCTAAGGTCTTCTCTTTAATGAGCTTGTGAGGCAAGAATCAGCTCCTTGGGTCTGTCAACAAAAGCCTATCCCCAGTCTAGGGGCCTCTTCTCAAGAATCTTCACTTTCCCGTGTCTTGCCCTCAGAGGGGTTTGGAATGATGCCATTTATCACCGTATTACAGACTGGATATGAAATATCCCTCATATGGGCTGGAGAGATGGCTCAGTGGT